TCATAATGAGACCGGGAATCTTCCGTGGGAAGATTCCCGGTCACAATATGATCATTATAAATATAGTTTATCACGTGCGAAAAATTATGATGAAGGTAGTCATGAGTGACACTTAGTGCGACAGGGGATTACTGTAAAAATTTACTGTATCGTGTAGACTTTTAATTACCTACTTTAAGTCATACTACTATACGAAAATCCGAGAACAAAATAAGTATTAAAAAATTTTTTTTTTGTTTTCATAAGCGTGTGAAAAAAATTTACTAAATATTTAGTAACTTAGTAGTATCATTTATTTTTCAATATTGCAGTATTGTCTCAGGATTACTGTAAAATTTCTGATAGCTATTTTTCCCGAAAGAACATAATACTGACTAAATATTTCCTTTCTGGAAAATGGCTTTTGAGAACTTACAGCCGTTTTCAAAAATTTGTGGAAGACGCAGATCACCCATTTCACAGATTTCCAGAGTTTTTAAAACTCATTATAATCGGATTTTTAATTTTTACTATCACATTCTTCGATTCCCCACATAGGTATATGGAAATCGTTTTCACATCTTTTTGAAAACAGCTGTAAGTAACATTATTGTATTAGTATTAAAATAAATCTATTAATCAGCAATTTGCAGTATCTAATTAGTATCAATAAAAATGAACTTGGAACATTTTAAAACCGTTTATGTTAATTATTATTTTTTAAGCAAAAGTAAAAATCGCGGCCCAGAATATTGTTAAGGAGTCTTGAAATAGAGCTGGTATATTTTAAAATCACAAGCTCGGCAAAATTTATTTCTTGAGAATAAAGTACTGACCAAAAACTTTATGAAAATTTTCTTGGTTGTGACAGAAGCACTTATTTTCATTAATGTTTTAGATTATTCGTTTTTTTTTTTTTTTTTTTTTTTTTTTTTTTTTTACTAGCAAATTATTCTAGAAGCGCATAAATAAAATACATGGGTTTTTTATTATTGAAGAAAAACTAAACCGATGTTTTTGATTTTGTGGCTGTGCTAAGGTGGCGTAATCTAGGTTATCCAATTACAACTGTTTTCAAAAAGATGTGGAAAACATTCCATGTGCGAAATCTAAGAATGTGGAAATTCTCCTTAGTAAAAATTAAAAACACGATTAGAGCGGGTCTTGAAAACTCTAAAATCTGGGAAATACCGTGAGTTCTCCATGGTATAGTGATCTGCAACTTTCCACAAATTCTTGAAAACAGCTGTAAAAGGCAGGATTTCATTCGTCCAATCACAACTGGGGGAATTAGGCTTTCCATATTTAGAGACTTGGGATTTGATGATGATTTTATTAGCATAGAAAACTGGTCTTTATGATTTTTTATGCATGAAGAATTTTACTAAATTGGTAAATGGCATTTTTTTTCAACTCTAATTTTCATCGAGAAAAAATTTAGTTTAATACTCTCATAAACTATGGAATAAACTAACATTCCTAAAATTTCTTCGTCTCGTTTTATTGAATCATAACTCTTCAAGAACATTTATCCGAGACAACATAATTCTGAAAAATTAAAATATTCTTAAGACAAGCAGAAGAGATTTTACGAATAAATTTTTTAATTTGTTCAGAGAACTGTAGCGGTAGTATTATCACTCCGATTTGTGCTTCTAAATTAATGCATTAATATAAGAAATAATCATTATCATTACTGAATGGGAGAGCTTACGCAATGTTTTATGGTAATTTCTGTAGCTTTCTAATAAAGTTTCGGAATCTAACTCCAGTGCGTAGTAAGTAAGTAGTCATGTGTTCCATTTGTTCCGAAGTACAGATACGTAGTAACGTGTACATATATGCACTGTTGTGTACCAAAAAAGGTTAGATTTCATGTTACGATTTTCTATATAAAATGGAACAGTGATCACAAATTCAAACTTTGAAGACTTATAATTTCTCATTTTTTAAAGCAAAAATAAACGAATAAATGGAGACAGACCCTAATATTAATCAGGTTGATGAGCCCTCCTCAAATGTGCAAATCAAACATTATGAATTTACAAGGTTTTCAAAGTTCGAAAAAGTTGGCACTGGTGCTTATAAGAAATTATATAGAGCTATTTCGGAAAATGACGATATGACCGTTGCTTTGAAACCAGTGGATAATAAATATGGAAAAGAAATTTTAAACGAGGTATATATGTGTCTGTCATAAAAGAAATTTGCAAATATTTTGTTAACTGTTAAATTATTTATTAAATTATCTTTTTAAATTATCTTTTTAAATTATTTTTTTAAATTATTTTAAGATTAAGTTACAAGTCAATGTTAATCATCACCCAAACATTATCAGATTTTATGGAATTACAGAAGGTAAATTATATTAATATTAATCTACCATTGTTATCTAAGGTCTTTTTGTTTACTCTTATTTTATTAGTAATGCTATCAAAATATATGATTATGTTTGAATTCGCTGATAATGGAACTTTATGTGAATATTTATATACAAGGACCTTAACATGGAACGACAAATTTAAGCTTTCTTATCAAATTGCTTCCGCCATTAAATGTCTTCACTATCATAATATTGTGCATGGGAATCTTGTAATTAATTATTTATATTATGTTATTTCTTTATAAAAATTTATAATCATTACATTCTAAAACTTACTTCAATCTAATTACATTTATAAAGAATTCATTCAACACTTTAGTTCACCAAGATAACATCAAAATCAGCGACTTTGGACCTTCGAAAAACTTAATTGATATAAATATAAACCCTCATTTTAGCCCTATAAGTCTTATGGCATATAAAGATATAACATCTCTTCAAAATTCGGCTAATGATAAAAAAGTCGATATCTATAGTGTTGGGATGCTTTTATGGCAATTATCAAGTGGACACCTCCCATTCAGAAATCGTGAAGTTTCATCATTTTTTGTTGATTTTGTGAATGATTTTAAAGAGGAACATGTTCCAGGGACTCCAGAAAACTATATTCAAATATATACTGGTATGTAATAACATAATTAAATTGTTATACGTATTGAAAAATTAATGCTCAATGACAATATAACAAACATGTATATCTATACCCTCTTTAATAGAATGCTGGCAAAGTAATAGTTCAAGACGCCCGGAAATTGAAGAAGTTGCTAATTCACTTAAAAGGTTAATGTCTAGTCATCATGAGTCCGTTTCCGTCACTGAGTAAGTACGAAACTGCTAAATCAATTTTAAATATTATGTTTCATTATAAAGTCGGTAATTCTCTAATTAATTATCTATTAACAAGGACGTGAGTATATAAATAATTATATTTGCATATTTTTAACTCATTATTAAAATAAACTTTATTATTCTTATTCACAATTAACTTATCTTTTTTTTTTTATTACTATATCAAAGGAAAATAAATGATAGGGAGAGTAAGAAATCTATCGTAGAAAAATATTCTAAAACGAAGGAACAAGTTAAAACATATAATTTAATTTTTGATAAAGAATTTATAATGCACAAAGAAAGTAATATAATAAGAAATGAGCGTTTATTAGAAACTCAGTTAGAATTCAAAGATGATAATAAACATTTACAAGAAATGCAAGTAGACCTTAATCTAGCAGAAAGAGTTGATAGTAAAGTTATAGCACATCAGTCTGTCGATGACTATATTCAACCATTCGGTCCTTTATTTAACACGGTCGCGGAAATAGTTAGCAAAATGATAACAATATGTGAAACTGCAGAGTGTAGTAAAAAGATATGCTCTGCTTTATTGTTTCGTGCTGAAATAGCACAAACTTGTATGAAACATTTGCAAAGAAAACGTCAAGCTAATGCTAAAAACTTTCGAAGACAAGAATATTATCTTATCTGGGTCAAATTTACTAATGTTTTAAAGAATATGATGATATTTACTGAAGAGATTGCGCAATTATCGTGGTTTCGAAAGTTTTCAAATATCAATATGGTTATAGACGCTTTTTATGCAAATATTGTAGAATTCGAAGATTCTTGTTATGATTTAGATTTAACTGTAGGTGTGTACAGCGCTGAACAAAGGGAAAAGGAGGCACAAGATGTAGCCTATGATATTCTGATTTTGAAAAAGGTAAATTTGATTTTCCTGTGACGCTACTACTAATACTTCATATAATATTTAACTTTGACATATATAATTAATAATAGTCGATGGACGGAATGCAGCCAGAAACTAAAACATTAACCACAGAGATTGCTGCATTGAATGCAGCGAAACATTCATTAAAAAATGCTACACCTGAAATTATAGCTTCAAACGTTCCAAGAAAGGTGTGCAAAATACCTAGAATAAATTCTGAAGAGCTATTCGAACCACCTCCTTCTAAGGATAATAATATACGTGGTTCAATCATGAAAAAAATCTTTCGTGGAAAAGAAGTTGCATGTGAAAAAGATTTTGATAAAACAGAAAAACCATTCAAATTCGAAATCCTTCATTTATTAGGATCAAGTCCATATATTATTACTTTTTATGGACTTTCTGTTGATAATACTATGGTTCTTGATTGGGCCGAGCATGGAAATTTAGAAGAATTGTATACACGTTATAAGATTGATTGGCCTATGAAATTACAACTCGCTCATGATATATTTAATGGTCTTGTATTTATGCATCAATGTGGCATGTATCATTATAATATTCGTTGTAAAAATATTTTGGTACGCAATTATTAATATTTTTGATTAGTATGATAAATTGTATATGAGTGTTATTTCATGATCAAAGTAATTAATTTGGCTTTATAAATGATAGATCACAAATAATCTTGAACCCAAAATTTTAATTTATCGTGGATATCGAGAAAAAGGGTTTGTTTACGTTAATATGGATGAAACATTTAGATGGTTGGCTCCAGAAAGAATGAAAAATCCTATTCCTCGGTATAATAATCAATCTGAAATGTTTAGGTAATATCAAATTGTTTAATAGGTTTTTTTTTTTTGAAATTAATTAATTCAATATTTCTTAATATTTCTTTTTATAGCTTTGGTATGCTACTCTGGGAACTTTGTTATCAAAAGATTCCTTACGAAGGCATGGATCTAACTAAAATCCTGGAACATATTAAGAATAAAAAACGTGAAACACTTGATATTGCTCTTCACTCATCTCCAATTCCAAGAGAACTTGCTAGAATTATTAAATCAGGTAATGATTTTTTCATTCATTGAGATGTGATTATGTCTGAAATTTCATGCTTATTTTTTTCATTTTATTTATTTATTTATTAAGCTTGGGAAGAAGATCCTTCGTCTCGTCCTTTGGATTTAGAGTTACAATTAAAATTTGGTGAACTTTGTAATAAATATGTATACTCTAATAATTCACAAGATAATAGAACGTTAGATTTTGAATTGCATCGAAATCGAAATAGTTCTCATCTTATCCCACAGAGTTTTAACGGAACTTTATTTGATGTATCTAATGGTGTTGATACAATTAATGCTGATTCATCCTCAACATCAATACAAACTTTAATACCTCTTGAAGATGGTTTAAGAGCTCACAAAAAGAAAAATTATAAGGAAGCCTGGAAATGTTTTTCTGATCATGCAAACCTTGGAAATAATATTGCAAAGTATTGGAAGGGATATTATCTAACGTGTGGATATTGTACTGAAAAAGATCTTAAAACAGCTCGTCAACTATTTAAAGAAGCTGCTGATAACGGTATTGCTGATGCACAACTTCGTTACGCATTTGCTCTTATAGATGATAAACGTAATTTAAATGTTACTGAAATATTAAAATACATGAATATGGCAGCAGATCGTGGAAATTCTACTGCACTTTATAATTTAGGTGATATTTATTGGAATGGAAAACTTAAAGTTCCCGTTGATAAAGTAAAGGCAGAATTATATATTAAATTGGCAACTCTAAAAAATCAATCTAGAGCTGCTGAATTCTTAGAAAAAATACATAAAGAATCAACAAATGAATCTGTTTCTAGAGAAATTGAAACCGATGATTCAAAAACTATAGCTATTATTGGGATAGTCGAAAATGATGATTCAAAAACCATAGTGATTAATGAAGCAATGGTAATTGAACGACCAGTAAATGAAGCATTAAATGTTGAAGAATCAACGAATGAAATGGTCACTGAAGAAACTAATGTTGAAGAATCAATAAATGAAATGGTCACTGAAGAAACTAATGTTGAAGAACCAATTATTACTGAAGAAACGAAGGTTGAAGAGTCAAAGGATGAAATGATTGCTAAAGAAATTAATATTGAAGATTCAAAGAAGACAATCACTGAAGAAACTATAGCTGAAAATGATATGATTATTGAAGAAACTAAAAGTAACGAATCAAAGAATGAAATGATTGCTGAAGAAACAAAAGTTGAAGAATCCAAAAATGAAGAGACTAAAGTTGAAGAGTCAAATAATATGATTGCCGAAGAAACTAAAATTAAAGAAGTAAATGATGAGATAACCGAAGAAATTAAAGTTGAAGAATCAAAATATGAAATTATTACCGAAGAAGCTAAAGATAAAGAACAAAAAAATGGACAGGTTAATCAAGACTCGGAAGTTGGCGGAGATATGAAAGAATAATAACAAGAAATATATTAACTAATGTATTTTATAATAATAAATGATATAAATATTTGTAAATCATATAATTAAGTATTAATAAATATACATAATAAATGTTAACTTTTAATGCAATAATATTTTTACCAAAATTTTATTAAAGCTTTTAAACTGATTAAAAATTAATTTGCTTTCTTTGTATTATAATTTTGATTTATAGCTATATTTTTTGTATCTTATTGGGTTCTTGTTAGTACAGTCGTCCCTCCTTATAGCCACCTCCCATATAATCCCATCATATGTAAACACATTTTTTATTTAGGCCAAACTATGATTTAATTTATAAGAAAAAAACCTCTATATAAGCAACAACCTTTATAAGCACATTTTTAAAAAAATTTACTATGTGCCCAACTGTGTAATTGTACGGGAGGACGACTGTATAATGATTTTATTACAGAACTAGATCTAGCCAATTGATGAAAATCACTATATTTTATTTGATTCTTTATAGTAAGCTTCATACTCTGCATTTTAGTTACAAATTTACTTAAAAGATTAATAACATGACTACTATACTTTAACTAGTGCTTCTACAGAATAGACCCAAACCAGATTTTGGTCAAGTCTAAGTCTGGTGATTTTTTAGACTTTTATATTCAGACTTTTTAGTCAAGTCTGAGTTTGGTTTGAAGTCTGCAAACTGGTCCGAGTTTGAATATATTTATATGTATTTTTTGGTGTTAAACAAGTATATTTAGTATATGAAGTTAGAATTAAAAATCTTATAATTTACAAATTTTCATTAATTCTAACTTTATATATTAAGTAAACGTGTTTAGCATCTAAAAATATATCAAATTAGCAAAATTATGTTTATTTTACTTGAAATTTGAAGAACAGATACATAATTTAAAATTTTGATCAAAAAAGTTAAATTTAAGCATCTTTTTTCTAAATTTAAATAGAATAAAAACAACTCTGCTAATTTAATATATGTTGTAATGAATGATTTTTAGTCTACTTTATTTTTATTTTTTCTATTCTATTTTTGTTTCATTTATTTTTATTATTATTTCAGTTTTATTTAGTTTAGATATTTTCTTGTATATAGTTCATTTACTTTTACCAATTCCATCTAATAACAGTACCCATGTAGTATAGTCATGATGGAAATATTCAATTAACTATACTAAATAGGTAATTGATTGTGGCTTGGTGGCTTATCTCATAAAATGTGTGAACATTCTAAATAGCGTGTATACCCACTTACACAAATATGTAAATTCTACACCAAGAGCATAATCACTCAAATTAAAGTGTATTTATGTAGAAAAGAATGTGTACGTTTATATTAGAACGAATTCACTTGTAATATAACATAGACATTCCCTCAGAATTTTATATATATAAGCCCGTGAATTTTAATAAAGTTGGACAAGTTCCACCTTCACTTTTAATAACATTAAGTAATAACGTAAATACTTATCTTTTGGAAAATTTTGACTTGTAACTTTAATAAAACTCTGTGAGACTCAATTCAACAGACGGAATTGACTTTAACATCATATCATTCTATTAAAACTCGAAATTCTGTATAACGGCCTCTTTATATTTTGGAATTTGGTTATGTGATAGATGTTTGGAAGTTCGTTCTCTAAAAGAAAAGAATTATTTTGAGAAAGAAAAGTATACCGCCCCACCCCCTTTGGCATCACCAGCATCAGCTGATTTGGTAGATAGCTAAAATAAAATCTGATTTATCTTTTAAAGAATCTATAAATCATCTTTAAATCAAATGATCATTCTAAATATCAAAACCCCATTGATATTGTATTTCTATTATAAACCTATTACTCTTTGCTCTTATGACTGATTTATTTAAGTTTTGTCTTTAATTTACAATCCCTTTCATTCAACATCTTTATCAATCAATTATAAAGCACTCTTATTATTATCCATTTACCATTAACTTCTGTTATATCAATTCCGAATCATTTTAATTCATCATTTTCACATTTATATTTTTTAATTATTATCATTTTAAGTTTATTATATTTAATTCTTTTATATTTTTATTTCGTTTATATAAACCCCAATCCCATACTCGGTTGGAGTTTCAAATTGGACTATTTGTCTATAACTGCCTTGCTCTTCCAAATACAACCGTTACATTTGGTGCCAGTTGTATGGAATAAATAAAACCGCACACCTTAAATTAAATAGTTATCAGTTAAAAGTTAATATTCTTATATAGCAAAATTCAAAATTATAAAACTTATCTAAAATATAATTATAACTCAACGAAATCCTTCGGCTTCAGTTAACCCTGCCCCACGACCCGCTTTAGATAATCCGGCTTCACTGCCGCAGCAACCGAACCCAGTTCAGCTAGTTATCCCACCGCAGCCACCTCAACCACCTCAGCAACCACAACCACCTCAATAGTCATAGCTGCCGCAACAACCAAATCCCGTGGATAATTTAGCCATGCAAATTGGATTGTTAATCCAACAAATGCAAGCTGCACTGGCTCCACAAATTAATTACAATCCACCCAACCAGGAATTAAGTCTAGTCCCTTATCCCGATTTTTTGGGAGGAGACCAGAATCCCATGACCTGGTTAGACGAAGTTAAAAAAGCATTTGCTGCCAATTTGGTGCATAACGACTACTGCATTCCAGTAATCGTTCCTTATTTAAAGGGTGCTGCTGAAACATGGTGGGCCACTACCCAACAACCACCTAACCCTATCAACACCTGGAATGAATTGGCTCAGCCCAATACAAGTTTCTGACCCCATTTTATTCTTCAATTTTGTACCCCGGCCTTAGAGTGTAAATGGTTTGCCCAATTGGCTACTTAAAAACAACAGCTCGACGAGGATGTTGATGCTTTTTACACCACCATGCAAGAACTATTGTGTCGAGTAGAGACTGGGGCTCAACCCTATCTAAAATTGCAAAAGCGCAGCTCTTTCTTAATGGGTTAAGACTTGATATTGTATTGGCCATTGCCCTATTCACTCCTAACACTTTACAAATTGTCTACGAATGCGCTAAAGTGTACGAAGGCACTTGTAAGCAAAATATTCCATATTTACTAGCCCCTATTAGTGCTCTATATTCACCCATGTACTTACGAGCACCCCAACTAGTTTTTTTTCTCCATCTGCTACTTCTGAAACCACTTTAGACAAATTAACAGAAGCCGTTAATAAAATGCTGACTCAGCTTTAAGAACGACATACACCTACCTCAGGAAACTATAATAGGATAGTCTGTTATAAGTGTGGTAGGGCAGGACATATAAGTAGAAATTGCCATTCATCTACCATACCCAACCCTCCACCTAATACGCCTTAAAATTATGCCCCAATAAACCAAATATATAATCCCGGACCAACTCCTGTCCCCATAGTATATCCTCATACTAATTTAAATCCCCAACATACCCCCATACCTACTGGTTCTAATCCTATCCCAAATAATAATATTAATACCAATGTGAGTGGTGCTCAGAAATTCCAGCCTCAAGAAGTATTACAAGCTTTACTAGCTATGGCAGCTAGTTTAAGTCCTTCTCTGGTCCAAAACAATTCGGATAGTCAAACCCCAAACAATAATCAAACTACTTTTCTTAATCTTTTCGAAGAAGACATACCCTTTTTTACTGTAAAGTCTCGGCCTATGAAATATCTTCGAGAGGAGGATGGTGACCTAGAATCAAGTGTAGAAGAATCGTTCGAGTCGCTATTGGAAAGAGAAAAAGAGAAGGATAAAGAAGAAAAGGAAAAAAATAAACCAGAAAAAGAAAAATTAAACAAAGAAAAAAATAACTTAATCAAAGAAAAGAATACAGATAACCATATTAAGGTTTCTTTGGTTAAACCTAAACAAGTCCCTGTGATAAGACGAAAGATTCCTAAAGAAGAAATGTTTCAAATTTCTTCCTTAGTCTCTCTGTACTTAGTTATAACTGATTTAGGAGATAAACTAGCTAATATTACTATAGGCCAACTCTTGCGAGTGATTCTGGCTATGCGTATCAAACTAATTCAGAGTCACTATAAGAAAAAGATTCTGCTTAAACGAAAAGCAAGAGTCAATATTAGCATAGCCCCTAGTAGCAAATCTACGGCTTTGTATTGCGATACTACTGTTCTTGGTGTAGAGGTGCCTATAATAGTTGACAGCGGGTTCTCCAGAAGTGTTGTTACCTCCTACCTACTACATGACTTAGATATCAAGGTTGAATGCCCATCTACCATTAATATGGTAAATGTTCATGGTGAAAGCAAACATGCTCTTGGCGAAATTTCTAATTTTCTCTTTGCTGTTGCCAGAATAGAAATTTCTATTAATGTGGTCGTAACTGACGCTAGCTTCTATTATATTATCGTTAAAAACGATTGGCTTTCTAAGGTCCAAGCTAAAATTGATTAGACTATGGCTGAAATGACTTTTATCTGGGATAACTACGAGATAATTGTTCTGGTGGAATTCAAAAAATTGCCGCCTAAGCCTCTAAGTAAAAGTCAACCTAATAAAGTAAAGGATTTGAAGAAAGAAAAAGAAGATGAATTAGAAAAATATTTAAGCAATGATGAATATGAAGAGAAAGAATTAGAAGAAAGAGTTTATAATATTTCTGGATTAGAGGAAGGCAATTATCTTTCAGATTCATCAGAATCCTCGGAGTCTTTAAGCCTCTATCAAGATAATTCTCTCAAGGCTCATAAGGACAATATAACTTTAATTAATGCATCTTTGGGTCAATCTCTTAATACTTTGTCTAAAGTACTTAGTAACCCAACCCCATATAGTACCCTTAACACTAAATTATTTGAACCCTTAAAGAATAAAGGGTCATGTCCTGTTTCCCTAGTTACTATCTCGTCAACCCTTTCCTCGTCTCTTGAAGTTAATAATAATACTAATAGTATTCAAAATTTAAACATAGCTAACTTCCAAAATGATATTTTACCTTTGCCAAAAATCTCACTAGTATCAACCCCCTTTGAGGAGTTAAAATATTATATGTTCCAACTTAGAACCCAATTGGGTGGCCCTTCTAACAATTTAGAAAATTTAAATCTTAGTTTCAAAATTTCGTCTATCTCTTCATTAATTATATTACCTGAAAAATTTATTGTTGATATTCTTCAGCCTTTATCCTTAAATTATATCCAGAAAGAAATATCTTTACCTTCTTCCAATTTGTCTAATCTTCCTCCATTAATTTCTGAAGCTCCTACTTCAAATAGTAAAATATCGTCTACTACCAATAAAAATTTAGATATTAATGTTAATAATTTAACTACTTTATATAACACTCAACCAAAATTTTTATGTACTACTTGCTTTTCTCAAAGTAATAGAATTGTTTCCCATTTATTAAAGTCCTGGGTGGTAATCCTCCAACGATAATTCTTGAGAGCGATTCAGATGAATCTACTGATTCAAATTTTAAGTGGTATGTGTCAGCTTAGAAATATAAAGTTTCTGAATATCAGTTTAATGAAAATAATTCTGATGCTTATGAAATAATCGATGAAGTAAAAAGGCAAAACAAGATTATAAAAAAAAAACTTAAGTCTCTGTCAGCTAAATGTTTGTATGACTTGGCCAAAAACGCTTATTTTCAAGAACAAGAAGTGAAACCAGATCTTCGTGGATATATTTCTATTAAGTTACAAAAAGAGAAGTATAGCCCTATTGGTGATATCTTTGATTATTATTTCAGGAAAGAAGTTAGTAGAAGAAATACTTTTAATATAGGTTTCCTTGATGAGAAACGAAGTAACCAGCTTAGAAATTTCTTGGAGTAAAATTCAAGTTTATTTACTTGGAAAGGTCATAGATTAGGATGTACCAACTTAATTAAGCACAGTATTAATATGGGAAATGCTCTACCTATTAAACATCACCCATATTGGCATTCTCCAGCCAAAAAGAAATAATAAAAACTGAAATTGATAAAATATTAAAAGAAGGTTTAATTCAATCTTGCCAAAGTTCATTGACATCTCCTGTGGTATTGGTTCCTAAACCCAATGGTCAACCCCAGTTTTGTATAGATTACCAAAAGCTCAATTCGATAACTCAAAAAGACAACTATCACCTACCACATATTTAAGACCTTTTGGATGCTTTAAACGGATCATCCTGGTATAGTTCACTTGACCTTACCAGTGGGTACTGGCAGGTCGAAGTAGAAAATTCAGATAAACTTAAAACAGCATTCACCACACCTTTTGGTGTTTACATATTCCATGTAATATCTCTTGGGTAGGGTTTAGGGCACAGGGGCATGAGGCATGCTCCTAAGGGCATGCCCCTAGAGCATGCCCATGGCATGCCTCAAGTCCAAAAGGCATGCCCTTATCATGTGATATTTAAAGTCATTTTGATTGACTAATAAGTTTAGTTAAAGCCAAAAACATAAATGGGATCTTTGCTAACAAAATGAGGTTCCGAGGCTATGTTGATTTTGTGAATAAAAATTAAATTTGCTGGCTATCTAGTTATTCAATTTGAATGAATTTTTTTTAATTTGTAGATTCTATTGAGACTTACAAAATAAAAAAAAAATTCATTCAAATTGGATTGCTAGATAGCTAGCAAATTTAATTTTTATTTACAAAATCAACATAGCCTCGGAACCTCGTTTGTTAGCAAAGATCCCAAATGCTAAATCAATATTTAAGATTTTTAAAAAGTTCAAACAATATATAATTTAAAAAGAATATATTTACATGTATAAAAGGTATGTCTTAGCTCTGAGTATATATATGAGTATGCTTTAATTTTTTTTTCTATCTTAATTTTACTAATTACCGTTTTTATATTTATAATTGTTTATTATTATAAAAGTATAGAAGGGCATGCCCATAGGGCATGCCTTTAACCCAAGGCATGCCTAATTTTTAAAGCGTGCCCCAAACCCTACATATAGTAACACAAACGAGTAAATACGTTTGTGAAAAAAAAGTCATTAAAAGTAAATTATGTCTATAACTTGCCCTTACCCTAACGCGAAAAAATTGTTAGTAATTCTTTAAAAAGTTTTATATGATTTGTCAGCTGCACGAACGTACGTACTATTTAGAATTACGTAAGAACGAAATCTTACACGTACGTATGTACATACATGTGAGTGGCACCAAGAAAAATGGGACATCCAGACTTCAATAATATAAATTTTATATTACTGAGTCGCAATTTCCTTGGCGTTACTCATATATGTAAATAATATTACTGTATGCCACTGCTTACAGTACCCGGTGTGACCCGATTTTTACATAGTGAAAAATTAAAGATCACGTGCATGTCATATATAAATAGTAATTTAAAAAATTGATCTGCGTTATTTGTCACGCCGGGTACTGTAAGCAGTGGCATACGGTAGATTACGACATTTTATTTATTACACACAATTCTAACGCTAAATAAAGTGAAAATATTTGGTAATACAAATAACGAACTTTTTTAAAAAGGAAATAGCAAATCAGAGACAATTTGTGTTACTTCGGTTTTCGAGCATACGGATAAAATAAAGTTAATACAATTATAATGACACTATATGTTCATTAGTTAAATAATTCAAAATTCTAATTTCTGATATCTAAAACGTTTATAATACAACGATTAAAATCGATTATCGTGCGTTTCATGAATAAGATTTATGATCATAAGTGCTTGAACGATAGTAAATATAGAACACATAGCAACATCAATAAATTCATGTTTCTGGGGAAAATAACCCAGAATTGAGAAATCACAAATCTCTATCTAGTGATAAACTCATTGTTGGTTTCACCTACTTCATTGATAAATTTGCATAATTGTCTCTTTCTGTGTAAAATGTGTAAGCAAAATTTTCATTTCCGTATATGGACATCACTACCAATAAAAACATTTAGATATTAGTCATTAATATTAAATGAACAATTAAACTGTGTATAACAAATAGATTATAAGAGATATGCCAAGATAAGTAAAAAGGTAAATCTATGAAAATCATAAAAATGGTAAAAATAAGAATGATAAAAATTTTTGTAGTGACACCATCATAGATATAAACACGTGCTAAGGAAATCAACTTTAGGCTAATTAAAAACAGTATGGAGTTTTAAATGTAACGAATGATAAAACATATCTGCATACATTATATTGAAAGTAATTGCTGGTATGTACATTACGGTTTATTTATACTGTATAAATTACATATATATATTATGCCATCGTTCCTTCTAAATAATAAATAAAAGGATTGTATTAAAACTGATAATACTAAATTCAGTTTCAAATCTTTAAATAATCTCAGTGTTGAATTGTTTGAAACCATGTTCATTAAATTTTAGGTGTATCCATAGAACGATCTAATTGGCTACTATATGTGTGTGTGTCGTGGTTATAAATTCTACAGTAGGAAAATGATGCCGGCGACTTCGGATAATTGTTCAGTTGTCCCGGAATTTATGGAGAAAAACGAAAGATCGAGCTATACCACATATTGAGATCCATATATCAGATAATAGATAATGAAATACGGATGGTTACTCATGTATACATCTAATTTTATGTGTCACTTAAGGACAATTTAATTTAGTAATTAAATTTCCGTAACTTAGAATCGAAACGTTATAGGTTCTACATCATTTAAATCTACTACGTAATGTACAGTACGTATATATATATGTTGTACGTCGAAATCGAATTTTTATGGATTTTAAAATCGATTAAGTTGTACACAATACTGAATAAACTTTGATGAAAAGAGAATTCAATTTCTGTTTAGTATACAGATTTAGAATTAATTCGGTCAATAGCCCAATTATAGATTGTCAGTAACTTTTACTAAACTCGGTTTATTACAGTTTATTATAGAATAAATTGGATCTTAAACCCATTTTTTAAATCAAAATCCCGAATATGAACGAACTAAAGTTCTTAATCTTTTAGAAAATAAATCGAGCATTCTTGAAATTACATACAGTGTGATTTAAATTCTTCCTTTATGCATGAGCTATTATGTGATGAGTCCGTCAAAAGCTGTAAATGCATAAAAACATCATGTACACAATTAGCCACATTAGTTAATGCGAATGTAAAAGGCAAAGGTGCTTTGCAGAAGTAGCTATCAACGTGGATAATCACATAGAGTCTAAATGCAACTAGTTTGCAAGAATCATATGCAATATGAAGTCACCTTGAAATTTTATTATTTATAAAATTTTATGTTTTAGAAGTATAATTCAGGGATGAAGTTCTTCTACTAATCAAATTATAACAATATTTTTTCACTAGTGTAAGGTCTTTTTCAGAATATATTATAATGTCCGATGTGAAATTTCATCATTTGCGATTTTAAAATTTAAATAGATTCGGGAATCAATTCAAAAATTTCCTTATTTAACTATATAGATTATATAGATTTAAATTTTCATTCCAATTTAAACATATTTAGAATCTTATTAAGTGGATTCTAAATGTAGATATTTTGACGTACAACATATATAATACGTGTATACAGGGTTGAAGCTGCAAATACTATAGTTCTTAGATTAAATTTGCAAACTTGAAATTATCCATGTTTACATATTTAAAAATTGTAATACTACATGATTTTTAAGGAATTATATGCTTTTCAAAGGATGTAACCTCACAATTTTTGTGATAATTATCGAGAGAAGAAAATTCCGAGATTCTAGATGTATATATTAATAATATTTTTCAATATATTATAACGGTTTGTATAAAGGTGTGGCAACATGATTTTCATAGTGACGTCTATATTTTATTATAGGAAATCTTTAAAATTTTCAGATAATCGCTGATTTCCTTTTTGATTTTACATGACATCATGATCTGTAGAAGTCGCATCTTTTTGCAAACCACCATAACTTATATTTATTTGAAATCGGTAAAATTCTTAAAATCTACAAATCTCCAATTCTCATACGACATCGTGATCTGCAGAGGTCACATCTTTCTGCAAAGGACTTTAACGAATAGAATTTTTCAGAATATTTTTATTAAAAATTTTAACTTTAAATTAATTTCTGTTGTCATTCTGTCTTTTATTATTATTATTATTATTAAACTTGAATAAATCCACTTATAAACATATTTTCTTTACAGAATTATGTTTTCACCTATTTTTATCATATGATATTATGCCATATTCCATCACAAATTCATTCCAATTAGTAACATTACTTCATTCCATTCATAGATTCTGCATACCATTAAACCTATCACGTTCGGCTACAGGCTTTAACTTTATCATTGCTTAATTTTTAAATCCAACTGCATACAACCTTCTATACAACTTTAATTTTTTACAGGGGAATAATTTTGTTGAATGGTTTTGCTGTAGTTATCTATCCCTGCGTAATAACGCCATTAGGCTGCAGCAAATAAGAAAAGTTCTCGCGATGCTGCGTGTACATGCTAACAGAAACCAATTGATTTTCATGTAGTTATTGCATTATTCATAGTAATTTGCATCATAAGTCATCAAACCACAGGAATGGTCTATTAAAAGAACAAGATTGAATAATAGTACAGTACGCATTAAGTGAATAGCAGTAGAATCCGAACTTTATAATAGTAATAAACTTTGTGATATACTTTTACTTACTTTGTATAGTTACACATAAAAATACTGTGTATCTACTTGAGATCGTATTAACAAAAAAAAAAGTTAGCTTCGTTGATAAACCAATTAAATTCTACTTTATTTTAAATGCTCTTCATAGTAACTCGTAATTCGTGTCGTTAAAAAAATAATAAATTTTATAACTATACGTAGTATCAACGAACTTTTTATAAAAAGTTAGGCTATAATTAGGGATCTGCAAGTTTTGGCACGGTCCTATTAAATAGTACCGAGCACAGAACGGGAATTATGCTTTAATTGTACTGTATCTGTTACTTGTGATACTCTAGTTATAATAATAGCAGTATGCTTATCACAGAATAATGCAAGAATGTGAATGAAAGTTCAATAAAAAAAATAATTCAATTAAAATTAACGCAAAACGGATGTACATACGTGCCGAAAATACGTATGTACTGTACGAACTACCCCAGCAGCACTGACAGATTTTCACTGATCTGCAATCTAGAACATTGTCACTAAAAAATCTTTGAACTCGTATAAGTTAAGGTTAGGGTCT